TTAGAGTCGTCTAATCTAAGTTGTCATTGAAAGTCCAACTAAATTAGACATAATGATGGATTATTGACATTACGTCCATTAATTAGCAACATTATCACCCTTCTTAATCTTGATGAAAGCTTGTTTTGGCAGTCATTTTCATTTAATTATTCTATTATACTTTCTTTTGATAAAGGTATATATGTGCAATTATTTGGACCTTCATTAACAATCACTTATTATCTCCACTACTTCATATTACTTAATTTATTTTAATACAAGATTAATTATAATAATAATTCACGAGTGCATATATATAATTTTTAACTTTGGAATGAGGGATTTCCCCCCTTATTTTATGGTATATATATAGGGACAGCAACATTAATAGAGGGAGCAATTTGATATCTATAATGCTTGTTGACATGACTCCAAACTAGCTAGTAGGGGTGTACAAAACCGAACCGGAAATCAAACCAAACCGCAAACCGAATCAAACCGAAAACAACCCCCGACTAGTGGTTTGGTTTGACTTGGTTTGGTATTGAAAAAAAACCCCGACTATATTTGGGTTGGTTTGGTTTTAACTAAAAAAAACCAACCCGAGACCAAACCAACCCGACATTATATATGTAATTTTAAAATTTTATTTTATACATAAAATATTTACTTTGATATAATTTAAAAATATTTCTTATACTATTTCATAGTTTTTATCTTTTAATATATTATTTCAAGTTTAAAACTTAGAATTTGGAATGGTCTAATAAAGATTATAGTTCATAGATGTTGATAATTATAATAAAACTTAAATCAAAATCAAATTAATACTAATGCAAAAAGAAAATCAATTCAACACTAAGAATGACAATAATATTGAATATTTGTTCTTTAGTTTTACATTGGTTTAGACAATTAAAATACATAATCTAATTTTAATTTTCCTTAAATATTTAGTAATGTAACTAATACTTATTAAACTTATTTTAGCATGATTTAGTACTTTTAAATTATGATCATTTTCATTATGACTTTGCAATATTTATTTTATATGATGATTTCATTATTATTTTTTATTGAATATTTTCGTGTCATCAGTACTCATCTCATATTTTGTGTTATTTTTTTAAGAAACATCTTAGATAATTGTATTTTGGTTGGACTAAAGAAATATTTGGAGCACAAGTTAATTATATGTTTGTATGCAAACTTTACCAAAAAAATCCAAAAATCTAAAAAAATCCGAGGTTTATTAGTTTGGTTTGATTTATAAATTTAAAAATTCGACACAATGATTTGGTATGGTATTTAAAAAACCCGAACCAACCCGAGGTTGAAAAACCCGAAAAAATCCGAATTTTATTAGTTTGGTTTGGTTTATAAATTTAAATTTTTTACACAAATGGTTTGATTTGATATTTTAAAAATCCGAACCAACCCGGTCATGTACACCCCTACTAGCTAGAATATATTTTCCTGATTTTTATTGGTCATTCAAAAGAGGATGAAGTAATAGTTGTCTAAGTAAAAAAATTTCCCACTCGATATTCGATATCCACATCAAAGCCCGACTAAATACAAATTCATGCTAAAATATACATAGTATTAACTATTACTATCAACTGAGTTATTTACCTGTTGATTCAGTATTGATTGGCTATTGAGTTATTTACCTGTTAGATTCAAATATATCTATATATACACACTTTTTTTGTAGTAGTAGAACATATTGAGAAACACTTAAATTTATCTAGACGTTTGAACTATGATATGTTTAATTTGAATTGAACGGTTGAACATATGATAAAATGTTCATATATATAGACACTTCCAACTCAAAAAAATTTACAAAGTTTTTGTGCGTGTTCTCTAAGTGTTCATTATTTTGTAGATAAGTTAACTACTTAAAATATGTCATCTCCTTTAATTATCTAATTTCACTAAGTAATAAATCTCATGCATATTTGGAATTCCAATTGATGTTGATGCGTATAACTAAAGGAAGGAAGAAAATGATTATTTTATGTGATTACGGGCATTTGTGATCACTCGCTTAAACTTTTTCCAAAATATGAACCAGAAGTATCTAGCATGACCCTTTATTATGTGTTCGGATGCTCAATTAAATATACCATATATAATTCGAATGTTTAGATGAAATATACCGACAAATTCAAGAAGTCGTAACATAATTTGCCTTTCTTTTATGAGATAAACGTGTGATTGAATCTTGGTATAGAATTGCTTAGAAGGGCCAATAATTGCCCTCTAGAAGAAACCATTATGGCTAATCAAGTCAAGATGATGGAAAAATGAGCGTTTGAATGAAATAAATCTTGATATAAAATGGTGAAAAGAGGCCACCAAAAACTATACCACAAAAAGAAAAAATAAAAACAGGAAAAAAAAAGTCATAATATAGAAAATCTAGGAGTATCGTACTTTATGATAATATTTTCTCAATATCAATAATGATGCTAAAATCTAATCCATATTACACGTAAGAAAAGGGAAAAAAGTGAAAGAATATGCAAGCAAAGGGGGGAAAATGATTCTTTTTTTTTTAAAATAAAAAAAATCATGAGGAGTTCCATTGGGATGGTGATGTGCACAATTACTTCAACTTGAAATTGTTTTGCTATATTACAATCCAATTACTCAATGATAATTACATCTTTTCTTTCCACCCGATATATGGTATCCGTATTAGAGTCCAACTAAATTCAGATCGCGCATTGTAGAATTCATTTCTGAGAGTGGCGCTCCCAACAAAAATATTTCCATTCCCAAATACATAAATTCAAAACCTCTAATTAAAGGTGGAGGGGATCCTGATCATTCCTACTACAACTCAGGTTGATGATTAATTATGACACTTAATTAGGGTTCTAAACGTAGATCATACTTTTAGGGAGTGTAATCAAATCAAATTAATTAAAAAAAATATGGAAACTAATTGAAATGAGAAGTCCATAATTACAGCCTTAAGTCTAAAGTATGAATTATGAGGGTAGAAAATTTGTTAAATGCCTATATAAAAGCACCACTAAGACGTTTAATAAAAATAAATTATACTATATAGTACTAATTAATATAACTAGCAGGTCAACATTTCTATACAGTATGCTTAAAGACTAAAGTAATAATTTACTATTGGTAATATTTATCCTCATGCACTTAATATTTAGCTCATTGGTTACATTTTCAACGGATTTATCATCAGAATTAATTTGACATTCTTTTTTGCCAAAAATATTTCCGACTAGCCATGAGAATTAGTGATTTTCTTGTAGTGTGTCCATATATCGGTCTGAAAAGAATGATCAAAGTCTAACACCGTCTAATTAATAGAATATTTCCTCTTGTATTTATAACATATATTTGAAATACATATTTACACTAAAAAACCGTATAACTTGTTACACTTAGTCAAATAAGACGATAATTACCTTAGCAACTAACACAAATATTACAATTTGCCTAACTTTGGCATTAGCTTTTTTTTATATTTTTTTTATATGTATCTATATTTTTGTACGAGTAAATTTTGGATCATGTTTTATAATAAGAGCATTATTGATCCCTTGAGTTACACAAAGCATGAAAAAGTGGTTAAAGTATGATTTTGAATTTGTGATGTAGACCTAATATTAATTTAATTTAATCAAATCTCTGAAAATGAAAGTCTTAGTGGAAATGGTCAATACATGCATAAAATAAGGATACCCAAATAATACAAGAAGCGATAGATTCGAACCCCAAAACAATTTAGCGTGGTCCCTTTTCGTCTTTTCAAACAAAGAAAAAAATATGTTAATTGTTTCTAATGTAACGTGTCAAAAGTAAAGAAAAAATCACAATTTATGTAACAGTATTACGAGTTCAAATTCAAAATAGTCACTATTATCTACTTATTAGATTTTCTTCTATTTTTTTTTTAAATTTTATTTTGATTTGAGCTTAATTGGACATTTGAAATAATATAATTATATTATTGCCTACAATAAGTAAGTTATTTAAATATAAAATTCAAACATAATCGTCACCCAAAAAAAACTTACTATAAACTTTTTGGAAATCGATGAATAGTCCTAACCGAAAGTAACCGTCATTCAAGGCAAAGGCAAAGGCAAAAACTACCACCACCTAAAGTAACAATTAATAAATACCATAACATAAAAATAATAAATAAGTGACAAGCTAATAAAACAAAAGAATATGACACCATATAGTATATTTCTTCGGTCCCATTTTATATGAGTTAATTTAATTTGACACGAAATTTAAAAGATAAAAAATATCTTTTGAAACTTGTGGTTTAATAAGTGATAGATATTTGTATGAATATAAATCATTTTACTAAATGTAAAATAGACATTTTGAAATTAAATTGTTACTAAGTATAGAAATATGTCATTCATTTTTTTTGGGACTGGGGTAGGAGTAGTAAAACTCCGTTTATTCACCGATTGTGAATTTGTGATACTATACAAAAATGATCTTTAACGACAATAACTTAATTGTCACTAGATATGTTTCTTAGAGGCAATTAACACTTTTTACAAATGTCGCTAAAATTTATAACGACATTGATTTCTATGACACAATTAATTAATACCAGTAAAAAAAATTTAACACTCTTAGTTAATGTGTATATTTATTACTGCTAAAAAATATTTTTGTTGTATTCCTCTATCTTTATACATAGGTTTTGTTCAACCTATTGGAATGAAAAAAATAATTCTATTAGGAGTGTCACCTCTAGAAATGAACCTTGTAACGCATAATTAATTCAAATTTAATCAGACTCCAACACGACCGAGCGGAAAAAGAAAATCACAAGGAAAGTGGACCCTCTCCTAGACCAAGTTGTCTAATTTTCCATTTGCCAATGGTCCCTCATAACATGGAGCAATTTATGCCACTTTTCCCCACTATAAATTTCTCACTTCCTCCCTTCCCAATTTCCCACTCTTTTTTCCTCTCTTTTCCCCTCAAAATACCAATAAAAAAACAAAACCAAAAGGGAAAATTCTTGCCTCAAAAAAAAAAAAAAAAACACTTAACTTTTTTTTGTGTGATTTTTTTCAATGGACATAGAGTTAGCAAAGTGTGAATGTTGTGGACTAAAAGAAGATTGTACACAAGACTACATTAGTCAAGTTAAAGAAAATTTTGATGGAAAATGGCTATGTGGACTTTGTTCAGAAGCAGTTAGAGATGAAGTTAACAGAGGAAAACAACAATTTCTTTGTATGGAAGATGCTGTTAAAGCACATATGTCATTTTGTAGAAAATATAAATCAAATCCAGCAATTAAAGTAGCTGATGGAATGAGACAAATGTTAAGAAGAAGGTCTGATTTAACATCATCATCATCATCATCTTCAAATTCATCTAATTCCAAGAAGTATTCAAGATCAACAAGTTCTATCTCCTATTATTAATTACGTTTGTTTCAGTCTCAAACAAGTTGGAATCGACTATATGAATCACCTGAGAAAAAAAGGGTAACTTCAACTTTTGGTGGAAAATAAAAAGGTCTAACAACAAGTTTTTTTTTTTTTTTTTTTTCTCATGGAGAAATCTTTTCTTGATTTCCAATTTTCCATCTTGTCTTGTATAGAGGATGTTTGTTTTTTTCAATCTACTAGTGGAGATAAAAAATTTTTTTGGTTATATGGTTATGTTCTACTTATTACTTTTCCTCAACCATCACTATGAGGTTTTCAACAACAATAATAATTACGTCTCATATACGAAAAAATTAAAATCGACTATATTAATCTTGACTTTTTATTTAAACTCATTTTATATCATTAGAATTGATATCCAATGGAAAGAAAAGATATGTTTTTTTCTCCATTTTCTTCCTACAATAATGGAGTTTTTTTTAATCAAGCTTGACAAAATTTTCTCCCTCTTTTCGACTAAAGTAGGAAAGAAAGTTGATTTTATTTTCTTCATTGAGTTGAATAAACAATGAACTTTTTCTTGTATTAGGACTTATCTCAAACTCTTTTTACCTTTATTTTTTTTTTGGTGCATTAAAAAATATTTAATAGAATATTATATCAAATTCGTTTATAAGCTACATTAATAAAATCTGTCATGAGAAAAAACTTCATATCCTTGATCGACTAGTCCTATATTAGATAATAATGATCATTCTGAAAGGTCAAAAAAATTATAAATTTCATCTTTAAAGCCAAGCTTATTTTTTGAACTCCTAATTTTTTTAAATTTATTTTTTACCTTTTTCTTTTTTAATTAATTGATTTTTGAAAAGCACTCAAACAACTAGGAAGATCCCAATGCAGATATGTTCATAATTTTAATATTTCAGGTCAACTTCCCACTAAACATAAAGATTATTATAGGAATCATATCATATGCTTCAATAACTTTATGTTTAAGATGCATTCATTAAAAAAGTTCAAAACCTTTTTGACACAAATATTTCTGTTTCATAATTAGAGAAGTTTAAATTATTTTGATTGAACACTTAATTGTCTGATCCAGCAGATTATATTAAGCTAAACATAGTTGACCTATTATTAATTCAAGTTTTTAATTTATATTAAGGATGATTCATCACAATGCCCTGTGCATGTAAATAAAGTAGAATTAGTTCACCAACTATTTTAACAATTAAAGGAAATGGTTTATACAACTCAACTAACACATGACTTGATTTCATTAACATTTTTTAACACTTATTTTATTATCGGGGATCGTTGAAATTAAAGAGAATAGTGAGAATTGAACACATAATTTACCTATTGTGCGAAATATTTTCACAGATACAATTGAACTCACTACTAAAAATATGTGATTTTTTTACGGATATTCCTATCGAGTCGTCATGTTTTCTATAATCCATTATTCGAGGGATTCAATCGAAAATTCACGTTATATTAATAGTGAAGGTAAGATCATTTGGGGGTCAATTAATACATGATTTGATTTTTGATGATTTAGGAAAATATAATTAAGTTGATAGCTTATATGATTTTTTTTGTTTTTAATAATGGCATGCACATTTTAAATTGCCCCATGATCATGGAGCTAGTTCCTATGGTGAAAGTATTGAAAGCAAAAATATGACAAAAAGAGAAAAAAAAAAATCAGCCATTTTTTAAATCTATTTCAATAGGTTTATGAGGTGTCAAAATAATACACCTTAGAGTGTAGACTATTGGCATCTTAAATTCCAAGTAATCTCACTCCAGTCAAGCCAAGATTAATGGAATTGGATAATTTCCATTCTACTTAATATTTTGTACATATATTCTGGCAGAGCCATAATTTAGTTAGGGGTGTCAATCAACATAGTTCTTCTTATCGAGGATATGATCTTAGATAGAAAAGTGTTGAGGATACAAATTAGGGTAAAATGATAGTAGGTAGCATTGGGTTGTCTTGTATCAGTCCTTACTAGTATATAGTTATAGTATTACTCATGTAATTTCTTATCCTTTGATTTCTGTTATGTTATTATTTGTTGTTTCTTTTACTTTGACTATCATATTATTTTGTTGTAGTTACTGTCTTGTTACTATGTGTTATTTGTTGTATATTTGGTTACTTCTTTTTCTGGGTTGCTTCAGACTATTTTTCTCCTTGAGCCGATGGTCTATTGAAAATAGTATCTCTACCTCTGAGGTATAGGTAAAAATAATGTATATTCTACCTTCTCTAAATTTTACTTTGTGAGATTAAACTCGATATATATGTTATTGTTGTTGTTGTCGTTGTCATTCAACGTCGCTTTGTAAATTATTAATAATATTTTTTTTTGTGAAAATCAATATATTTAGATAGAATGTGCCAACAATGCTTTAAAACAATATATAAATTTAAAACAGTAACCAAAACCTGAAATTACCCTACTAAACCTAAACTCACTTATAAACGACCGGACCGATTCTTTAGGTATTGTTTAAAAGGTTTAGACTAAAGTCATTGCGCTCCTATATCACCTGTTGACAAAGTAGGCTGATGAAAAATCCTCCAATTATGACCTACCACAATGGTGTGGGTCATCATAGGTTGTTATGAATGTTATTCCATCCATGACTAACTCGAAATAGGTTGATCGTGTTTCAGAAAAATCTTGTGTACGTCGTTGTATAAACCATATATAGAGCATGATGGTACACTACATATGGAGCATAAAATCACCACAAAATTTGCAAAATTTAAATTAAGATTGGACATCCATTATTGTTGTGATGATACAGTAATTGGGTGTTCATTCGATTCAACACCCGATCGATCAAATCTATCCTTCATTTCGATCGAGAGGCCTCTAATAACCAAGTCCAAGTTTAAAGGGTATATTGTTGTGCCATGAATCTTAAAAAACAATCTCATCTTATGGTCATGCTCTTCTTCAAATTAGAAAACAAAAAAATATATATAAAAAAAACTTCACTCTGAAAAATTAATAGACAAGCAGAATCTATGACAACTTAATATTTAGATTTAGTGGCCCCTAATAATAAGCTCTTTTTTGTGGAGGACTTGATGTATGGTCCCAATTGTTAATTTTTTTGTTCCTCAAGTACAAAGCAAGATAAATTGATATACCTAAATGTTAAAAGTCAAATAAAAAAATGAAGCATGGGGACTGAACATATCTTTTGAAAATTTATCATATGATATCATTTGTGTTTAATAATATTATAGGCTTTCACTTCAACACGTCTTATCAATCGCCTAGACGTTCATTATAGTCCATCTCCCATTAATAAGTGTGTACCCTCAAGACATCGACCATACGCTAATGCATAGATTTTCTCACACGAAAATCTACAATAAATTTCATTATTGATTAGTATTGACACAATGTATAGAAAAATAAGTACAACGTGATAAATCATAGTGAAGAGTGGTTAACAATTAATTTTGAACTTATAACTAGTCTATCAATTGAGATGTTTTTGTATTGTCCACTAATTAAAATTGGAGAAATTCTTGATTAGGTATATATATGCTAGGATTTGATGTAACCAAGTCATTTGGGTTCCTAAATATAGGAAAGGCAAAATGTAGGTGGGGGCCTAATATGCCAAATGGTAGTTGTTTGGTATGTTGTTAATTATATGCTTTAATTAGATGCAAAGATTGATTGATTATCTTTTAATAGGTTAAATCATTGTCTCAAACAAAGAATATTGTTTATAAATTATTACAATTTGGTTAAAGTCATAAACCAAAAGGGAGTTATGTAATCCAAGTTTTGGATATCTAGAAACCAATTAGACAAACATCTCAAACTATATATTTATTACTTTTACATATTAACAAGGCGGTCACAACTCACAGATTTGAACGATAGAAACAAACTCACAAATTTGAACGATAGAAACAATCTTTTACAGTAATGCAGAATAAGATTGCGCATAATAAACCCTTATGGCCTGATTCTTTTCTGACCACTGTGCATAGGGGAGCTTAGTGCACTCCTATTGGCATGAGAATACTCCTATTTATTTATGACGCATCATTCCCATAAGATATGGTAGATATGTAGGAGTTAGTCATAAGAAAACACATGCATTTTTTTATTTGTAAATAACTAATAATAGTTGAGACAAGAATTTCCATGAAATGCCAGTCGAATTGCAGTCTTTTGATCACCAAAATTAAAGGGGTCGGAGTTTATTTTAACTGTCACTTTAGCTCAAAAATACTATCCCAAAATGTTACTTTAGATTTCAAGATTAAAATTAACAATCATTTTATAATGTGTGAAAAAAGCTTAAGTGATAGTTAAAAAGGGACGGAGAGTACTATTTATTTAGATGCAAGATTCTAAATCCACCAAAATAGCCTTCCTCTTTTGTTTTTCTTCCAATTATTCATGGCCACCCAATCACAAAAATAGAATATAAATATTTAATGAAAGAAATAAAAAAAATAAAAAGAATAAAGAATGATATACATTGGAGACCATTTTGTTTTTTAGTTTCATCCACATTGGACTCTATTCACCATCTAGATTAAAGACCAATGGTGCATGGATGGTAGAAAGTTACTGAATATATATCCAATATTCACAAGTCACAACATTTTTAGATGCATCTTGTGGGAAAATTGGAGGTAGCTCAGCAATCATGTTATTTTATTTAAATAGGTTTGGAAAAAAATGGATCTTATGTCTAATTCAATTTCAAAATCAGCTCATAAAAGATTGTGCAAGATTATACCATGAGTCCATATTTCCATTCAACAAAAGATATGAGACTCAACAACCCCCATACGCTCAAGACTGGACATTTAGAGTGTGAACAATATGCGATGGGGGATGGACATCATATATGACTCCGATATCATAAAAAAAAAAAATGAACTTTGCGCTTATATAAAGCCACTTGAAATTCTTAGACAGAAGTTAGAGGCCATAGGAGCCTTGAAACAAAAATCTTAAGTGAAAAGTTTTATTATAAGAAAATTTTGATATAATTGTGTTTTGATATAATTGTTATGACATGATTTGGAATGATCATATCTCTCAATATATAAGGAGTTAGAGAACCTATTACATATCAAACCTAACTCCAAAGTCTAATTTTCAATGTACTTAACTATTTGTCAATTCGACATCAAAGTAAAGAGTTAGGACCATTTTACCACAAATTATCCTAACAAATTGGTCATGGATCCAAGTCAAG